GCTCTACAAAGTGGTGACCCGTAGTCCGTAGATATGAATGGTGGTACTTGGAGTGTTGACTAGATGGATGTCAGGACACCCAGACAGATGGACAGACGGACGCACAGATCGCTGCATGGATGGATGGATGCATGAGCGGACGCAGGGACGGATGCACGAATAGAGGTGTGGACGCACGAACAAACGCCCGCACGGCCGGGTGGTTGGACGCACGGACGGTCACACCGACAAACGCATGGACGGACGTATGCTTCGCCCCACTCTCCATCATTCATCCCATGGATATGCAGGCATTTTTTTGGTTTGGCCTCTGCTGTTTTCTAAGTATCTACCCGTCAATATTCTGGCTCACTTTCTCCACTTTGCATCGACATTCCTCATGTACAAGTAGCTGAAAACCTTCCTAGCCCGACGCACCTCCCCCATTTCTCTCAATCACTCCTCAAATTTTATCTTGCTGCTAGGTTCCTTGCCCTTAAATGATGTCCATGCCATATCACCTTGCACTTCCTGCTTTGGTGTATTTCCGTGACCTCCGAAGGCAAGCCTACCTATTCCACGTTGCTTAATTTATAATCTTGCTTGAACTTCTGATCTCATGCACAAGACCGCATTGCCGAACGTCAGACCAAGAACCATGACCCCTTTCCATGTATCCCTCACAGCATCATACCTATTTTAATTGCACAGTGCCCTGTTTTTCATCACTGCTGCATTCCTGTTACCTTTAGTCGTTACGTATATTTCGTGTTCCTTTAGGTAATCGTCGCCATCGCTTATCCATACGCCCAGATATTTGTATTTATCTGTTATCTCTAGCGTGACCTCTTGTATTCTAGCTCTCTACCTTCATTATCATTAAAAATTGTGTCTGCTGATTTTTTCTTACTGAATCTGAAATCTATCTTATCTTTTCTTGATTACCGCAGATGTCCATCAATCTCTGCAAATCTTCCCTGTTGTCGGCCATTAGCACTATATCATCTACGTACATCTATGCTGGTAGTGCCTGTTCAATGAGTTTTCCTTGTCTGACGAAAGAGAGGTTGAAGCCGAATCCACTTCCCTCTCTTTTGGCCTCAAATCCTTGTAGGTACATCATGAATAACAAGGGTGACAGAGGACACGCCTGCCTAAGCCCCTGTTTTACTCCTGTGGTCTTGGATACCAGTTTTTACCAATTTATAACTACCTTGTTACCTTTATAGATATCCTTTATATATTAGTGACTCCATCTTCCACACCTAGTGTGTCCAGTATTCCCACAAGTCCTCTTGAACCACGCTATCGTATGCTTCCTTGATACCCAAAAAATGCTAGCCACAGGGGCCTGTGTTAATTTTCTGCTATTTCGATGCACTGCGTCAGTGATAACATATTGTCTTCCAACCTCCTGTGTTTCCTAAACCAAGTTAGCAGTTCCCCCTGCACTCCCTCATCCTCTATCCATGCCTGCAGTTTTTCCTTTATAATCTGCATCGCCAGCCTGTAGACCACTGTCGTCACTGTTGGAGGGCTGTAGTTGTTTGTGTCAGCTTTGTCCCCCTTTATAGATCATGCTCATCCTGCTAAGTTTTCATCTTTGGGGACTTCACCATTGATTATGATTTTGTTCACTGCCTCTCTCAAAGTCTGCCTAGACTTCGGACCCAATGTCTTTATCAGCATAATTGTAATGCCATCTGCGCCTGTTGATGTACTACTAGGAACCCTGTTCTCAGCCCTTTCCAGCTCTCATTGTGAAAATGGAGCCATTGCACCACTTGATTCATCCTTGTCTACTGCGGTGCATAAGGCACTTCTCTGTTGAAAATTTTCTGTCACCCCTGTTTTTATATATTCAATAGCTTCGTCTTTTCTAGCCTAGCTCCTTGAGCTGTAGTTTTAAACCCCTCCTCAAGGCTTGTCTCATTTCTTAGGGAGTTTAAATGGTTCCAAAATTTCGCAGCTGCCTTTCTACCCTTTTTATGTACTTCTACCGGCCACTGAGCTCCCTTTCATCTAATCTGTTCATTGATCAGTAGGAATGCTGCTTTTTTACAACTTAGAAAGATATCCCATTTTTTAACATTATCTGCGGTTCACCCTGCTGCTTAGCATATCTGTGTTTCCTACAGGCTTTTTGACGTTTTGCTATGCCTCTCTTAACTTCCTCATCCCACCAACTCCTGGGTTTGTGTCTTCTTTTCCGAGGTGACTTGTCACGTGCCTCAGGAAGCTCTAGCTCAAACAGTCTAATTATATTTGTGTATGTTCACACTGGTTTATTATCCTCAGTGATTACTTTGTCAATTTGTTTAGTGGCTATTTGAATTTGCCTTTTGAGTAAAAATTTTCTGGTGGTTGCTCATCTTTCTCCTTCCCACTTTCACTGCTCTTCCAAAACTTAGCTTGAAACGTTTGTGATACCTACTCAGACTTCTGGAGCTACATTCATTTATGTGCATTCCCCTGAGCCTATCATACATCGTATGTGAAATCAGTGCGTAATCTATCGTCGACTGCAGCCTTCAGACCTCCCGTGTTATTTGCCCTTCCCTCCACTGGACACGAGTGCCCCTCCTCGCCAGTGTTCTCGTCACCACCTCTGCGCCACGTTCACTGAGATGACCCTTCAAATGAGAGTGGTTCGTCGCACCAGCTTCCTCTCTAAGGGGGGAGAAATCTATAGCCACGCGGCTGCCACCGTGCACCCCGCGGTCATAAAAATCTGCGGAGCAGCATTCCAAGCAACGTGCTGCTCTCCTGTCTGTTTCTCCTTTGACTCTTTCACTCGTGCCTCTTGCACCTGCTCCATTTTCGGCTCTCTGGTTGTCAGAATAAAGTAGACGTTGTTGCTGAAAAGACGTGTCCTTCTTTTATTACCTCGCTCTACAAGCCGTTAGCAGTGTCTGAGCTCACCTCGCATGGTTCTCGAGGTGCCGTGCACGAGCTGGCTGCTTTGTTCGCTGACGGGTTGAGTTGCGCGTCATCTGGCGATTGTACACGTAAAGTCTTAACATTTTACGTGCACTGATGCCAACTAGACCAATCAGCTAACTAGTTCCAGGTAGACATCAAATGTAAGGTAATCAAAACCTAGCCTCATATGCAGAAAAAAATATTTATTATATTCAAAATAATTAGGCTAATTGAACCTGGTACACTGGTAGTGCTATTTGTTCAAGACTAGGACTTTAATGTGCAAATTTCAGCAATCAAACTAATTAACAAAAATGGTGTTATTATTGCTAGGTGATTTTTCTTGAGATTTACAATTTGCACATGTGAACACTTCCTGCATTAGCAGCTGAATGCATGTTCGCCTAGACTAGCAAAAACGACCCGAGTGCCTACAAACTCTTTCCTGGTGCAGCTTTGCACAATTCAGTGGAACCTGCGCAAATTTGTTTTGGGAATACAATTTCATGGCGTGCCATTCCGTCAGATCTCACATGAATGTTACAATACGACGAAAGCGTGCAAGACAATGGCAATTATTGACAAAAAAAAATTCGTGGATGTTTATTGCCCTGAATGCAATAGCAATAATTTCAGATTGTTGCTGGGTTTTTGGGTTGTACTTCTCACTTCAGCGTTGTAAAGGTTTTTTCTTTTATTAGATAAGGCTGCGGCTGCTGCTCTGTTCAAAAGAGGCGTGAGGAGTCATTAGACGAATGCAATCGGGCGTTCGTAGCAACTGTGCTAAACACGGGAGCCCTCACTTGTGGCTGTGTGGTTGACCTTGACATCGCCAAAAAGTTTTATAGGGGCACATTTGCGAAATCCTTCTGAAATGAGCATACTTGAAACCACTGTGTTTCATCATTTGATTTTATGCAAGTAAACTGAAACTTAATGTAAGTGTGCCGCACAAGAAGGTTTAAAAAACTTTCTTGGTGCCACACCATTACTCGAGCAGAACTAGGAGTTCCAGTGATTGGGCAGCCTAATTTAATGTGTTCATTTAAACAATATGACATTTTACGTGTCAAACTCAAGATAAATCAATAGGAGGGTGCAGTAGTGAGGCTGTCTTTATCAGTTTGTACAACCTGCGTTTTTGTATGTCCACATAAATGCAAGTATGCATGTTTCCGGGCATATCACCCCAATTAAACGAAGCGCAGTCACTTTGATCTGCAGGGAGTCCGACGTCCTCAAACTCAGCGCGACACTTTATCAATACCGCGTTTGGCCCGTTTTAAAGCAAAACTATGTAGGGCTAGGTGACTGCGCTACAGCAGTTCATGGTACGTGAAAAACTGCTATGAATGGTCGTGTACGAGTAAAATAAAGTGGCGTTTCAATGGCTACTTACATTCGCGTTGAAAAATATGCACGAACGAAAAACAGTTGGTGTGCTGTCCAGATGTTTGTACTATTGCTTTAGTTACTACAGAGGTATTTGCGTTTATGCTCAGTTATGAATGTTGTGCTTAAGCTTAGTTATGATTGGGAAATAATAGCCTGAAGGTGAACGCGTGTGAATGCTACCTAAACATTTGATTGTTATCCTTCATATCCTCACCATGTTCCTGGTCAAAGGTTCCCAGGCCTTTATCCCAAGTGTGCCTATGGCAGCGTAACCCTAGAATTTTCAATTCCCCTCCCTCCCCCTTTAAATGTGCGAGCACTTCATTTGATGTGCGCGACAATATTTCAGCTTTTGCGGTTAAAAAAACATGTCTAGAATTCATTTCTCGCTCAAGCGAGAACTTTCATTGCTTGTTATGTGGGCAGAAAAATAGAATAAAAACATATGGTTGTTGTTTCAGACACTGTTTTGACGTCTGTCACATTGTTTTGACGTCTGTCACATCTAACTTACTCTGCATATTTACCTGTTGAAATCTTATAATTTCAACAGGTAAATATGCAGAGTAAGTTAGATGTGATGCGTACCGCTGGCCTATGAATGCTCAAAACAGCATCGTAAGAAATCCTTCAGCATTGTTTGCTTGGTATCTTTCATGTTTACTCATTCATTTAGGAAAATAAAACATTTGACTTTTTTGTAGTGATTTCACTCGGAAGCAAGGTTCGATCGGATTGGTTGGCACTTCTGGCTTGACTAGTCATTTGGAAGACCAAGCAACATGAAAAGCTCAGCACTCTCTGCAAGATATCTTGCTCCCGTCCTACTTGGTGAGAAAATCATAAGGTTTTATTTCTTGCGTACTCTGTTATATTACCTTTGCATGTGGCACAACTTTAAATAAGCTGTTCAGCTAGCACTAGATGATACTATCAATTTTTTTTAACTGAATCAAGGTATCTTGGCAACTGTCAGGTATGAAGCACCAAGCTAACATCGGCATCTGAAGCAATATACTACAGGTCTTAAGTTAGGTTAGCTAAAAGCGAAACTTAAAGCAATAAAAACTTTGTATGCGTTTGCCGCAACAAAGCTATAGGTGTTAAAGGGTGCTTGTTTGCTGTTTTTTTTCAGCCGATATAGAAGTGCGGTTTGTGGGAGACAGAAATAAATATGAAAAGTTCATCGGCCTGTGATATAACATTGTCCAGTAGTCCTCCCGGTATAAATAGGACCATCGGGATCTTTAAAAAGAAATTCTTCATTTGGCTGAATTGTGCTGACAAGAATAAGTCAGGGTACACGCAATACACCTTGTACACTGGCGGCAAACACAGTTGTTGGTTGTTAGTAATTTCCTCATGGATGGAACGAATCATTTATTCATTAACAGTGATAACTGGCGCTCGAGTAAGTTCTTATTGTAACTTGAGTAGCCGCTTCCTGCACATATTGTTCAAAGAAAAATTCTGCACAATCGTGAAGCTTCTCAGATGTTGCTTTGTGGCCTGCACCGACAGGTCCTAATGATTTTAATGACGAGACTCGATTGCATAAAGAGCAGAGGAATAAGAATAAGCACAGGTAGCAATGCCCTCTCCTGAAGAAATACTAGACTTTGCTGTGACGCAAGACGGGCTCTGACCTATGCATGAATATTGAAACAAATTATTTTATGAGAGCAGCACTGCCTAATGCATTATCTAAGAACGCCTTTTTTCAAGCAACTTCAACTGTGTTTGAAGTTTTGGCTAATGATAGTTGTAGCAATGTGATCGTTGAATAATTCCACAGAAACTGCCACCGCTAGAGTGCTACGCACAACGCTCTTTGCATTGAACGTGTCGCGAACTAAGCGCCACGTCGACCGGCTCGTTACGGCAAGATAAGCGAGCCGCAGTGTACGAGCACTGCGGCTGGCTTAGTGGAGGTTCAAAGCAAGGTTAGAGGCCGGTGGCCCGTGATATCGACAAGTTGCACGTTGTCGGTTTCGTCCTCATTCACTTTATTGGTTATGCTGACGCCGGCGTAAAGTTCTCAAAAGGAGGAAGAGGAATAAACGTTTATTTTTTGAAACGATGTAGCGGGGTAGGTTCCGCGTCCACCGAAGGTGCTTCTGGATTGAACAAGTTTTTATATGGACACCTTACGCCGACAACACCATAGGCTATACGCCGCTCAACAGTGGAATTGATACCTAAGCGGTGCTCACTCAAACACAAAAGCAAGTGCTTAATGAATGAACCAAGGAATGAATGAATGAATGTGACATTTATTGAAAATAATGAACATCTCTTCCGAGCATTTGGAACAGAAGTGAGGAAGGAGTATGGGTAATGAAGGGTGAGACGCAACTACCTCTCAGGCCTTCGCGCGTGTCATTAACCTCTCCTGCATGACTCAAAACAGGCCCCTTTTTCTACTGTATATTTCGAGAGCTTTCTGTGCGTCTCATGGCATGACTTTATTTAAATTTTGTAGAGCCACCATGACGGTGTGCAGCTGCTGTTGGATATGTCATTTGCCTTTTAAGGGCACTGTGCGTGTCCAAATGACACGTTCTAAATTTCTTCAGCACAGCGTCTAAAAGTGCGTGCATAAAAATTCTAAACATGCGCTATCGCGCATACCACGCACGACTTTGGACGTGTTCGGTGCCGCCCAAGGCTTGTGATGCCATCATACAACCTGGTATTTGAATACACAGAGACGTCGAAATATCTTGTGTAGTCTGTAGTGTCGTCGAAGAAACTTTTCACGAAGTCTGCGTTGGCTTATAGGCGTTCAGACTCACACACGGTCGCTGGGCTGGTCGCCGGCCAGAAAAAGTTGTAAGGACAGCTGTCGGTCGAAATTTTGTGTAAAATGTGAAACGTTGTGAAACTAGCTTTTGGTTTGTACGTTCCGGAAACCCGATTGTTTTTTTTTGGCACTCTAGACTGGCCCCGCCGCGGCGGTCTCGTGGCTAAGGTCCTCGGCTGCTGACCCGCAGGTCGCGGGATCAAATCCCGGCGGTGACGGCTGCATTTCCGATGGAGGCGGAAATGTTGTGGGCTCGTGTGCTCAGATCTTGGTGCACGTTCAAGAACACCAGGTGGTCGAAATTTCCGGAGCCCTGCACTACGGCGTCTTTCAAAATCATACGGTGGTTTTGGGACGGTAAACACCACATATCATTTATCATTAACAGCACTATAGACTGTGGCTGATTTTGAATACCTGGAATTTTTTATTCGTTTACTTACATCTTCAAATAGGGGCGTTCAAAGCGCCAACGTAAATTTTTCGTATATAGCTTGTTTTCAGAAGATTCCGCATTTTCGACAAGTGAATTTGTTTCCTGACAGCCCTGCGCTACGCTTGGCTCATGTAAAGGTGGACAGCAGGAGAGGTACATTGGCGTTGCTAACGTACACATATGTATTTATGCACGCGAGTTAGATCCTATTTGCTGAAACTGTAGCCTTCACCCAGCCATGCGTAATTTGTACTTCTCTAGCTGATTTAAACTAACTTTGAACTTACTTTATTTGTTAAGGAAATAAAAATAAATGCATTAGTGCTTAGAAGTTCCACTAGATATCTTGTAAGCTTATTTAGAGCACACAGTGGTATTGGCAGCTGTAAAGTAACCGAGCACTTGAAACATCACATTTGGTTGGAAAGTTTTTGATAATATAAGAACAGTTGACGTGAAAACGGGAGTGCATGCCATTAGATCACGTGTTAAAACATGGCAGCGCCCGAGTTTGCTAACATAACGTCTCCGAGAAGCGCGTGCAGATGCCACACTGGGGTATATCCCACTTGAAACTCTACAGCCCAACTTTAGTTGGTTATAGCTGTTTGAAGACAACAGGGCATTTCTTGATTTCTGGCATAGATTCAATATTTGTTTGCTCTATGTGCGTTAACACTCAAGTTATTCATTTTATGTACAAGAAATGAGTATACTTGAGCTGTTACTGTAACTGCACTAATGCTACTAAAAATAAGAATCATTTTCTTTGCAGCCATTATTGCAAAATCGAGTAATACGGCAAATGAAGACGAGGCCACTGAATCA